CGCAGTATCTTGTCCTCCGTAAAATAAGGAATCACATACACTGTTAAAATTAGTGTTTTGCTATCCAGTAGGGTGAAAGTTCTATATTAACTGTAATTTGCTGAAAGAATATGTACCATCCATTTCCTAAGAACTCCTTTTTGTTTCAGTCAGCCCGTCAAAGCAGACATCCTTTTCGTTCATGGTCTTTTGGGAGCAGCATTTAAAACCTGGCGGCAACAAGATAGAGACCGGTCTTCGGATCAAAAGGCTTCGGAAGGGGAAGAGGACTATAGCCAGTGCTGGCCAAAGGTAAGAAGATAACAACATTTTCACAAAAAACTACTGTTTTCTTATTAAAGAGAGCTGTCCAGAGATTCTGTGAGTAGCCTGTTTGGAAGTTGCTTATTTGGAATCGGAGTACCTTTTAATCTGAATATATGAATAGTATTTTCTCAGTTTCTGGTACAGTTGTGTTATCAAGTTGAGATTTTGAGCAGTTTGTTCTTGCAAAATAACATCCCTGCTACATTTAAAGCTCTCACTCCATTCTTCTACTAGCAAAAGAGAAGGTAGTGTCTGCTTTTCTCTGAAACTTTTTGATGGAATGCAATAGTTTAGAAAAAATAGGTACAACTATATTTTATAAAAGATAAGTATGTTTTCATACGTAGGTGTCTGAGTACCTGAGTGTTTGCAGATTTCTGCACAGATGTTACTGGTAAATAAGTAGCTAACTGCGTTAGTCAAGTTGTAGCTATATAACCAGCAACGTACTTCTGTAAAAACGTGTAATAAATGTAAAAATGCTGATAGAACCTCATTGGTAATTTTAGTAATTCTCTAATCACCCAGGAGAGGAAGCCAGAAATGTGTGAATGATTCATCCATCTCCAGATTTTGCCTACTTTGTGACTGCGAAATGTGCTAAAGAGTTTGCTGGGATGCAGTGCAAGAATAATAGTAATAATAGTTTAGGCATAAGATGTATTTGGGGGATTAGCTAAAGAGCAGAAATCTTCTTTGACATTATTCCTGTAATAACAGCTTTGCTTCATTGCTGGTAAAGTGCTTGCAAGAGATTAAATACTTCATTTATAAGCTCAAAAGGTAGATTCTCTAATTGCCAGTGTAATGTATTTAAAATCAGATTTTATGTCATTGACGGTAATAATTGTTCTTAAAACCAGAATTTAGCAGTTTATCTCTCTAACTTTCCCAGAAATATAGTATGCTTAACAGTAGTGGATGAGATTTGGGGTGGGGGATTTATTTTCAAGAAAGCACTTGCTTTAAAGGCATGCTGGGAACATGCTTTTGGAAAGGGCATCGTTTCCTACATAGCTCACTCGAATGGTCAGTGGAATTATTTTCCCCCCAAAAAAGGTTTAACAGCAGATTACTAGTCTTGGCTGTGGATCAAATTCACTAATGCCTTTTTTTTTTTCCCCTCCCGCAATTAATGTAGACATGGTTGGCATCAGACTGTCCAGCCCTTAGGATTATATCTGTGGAGTATGACACCCATCTGAGTGACTGGAAGGCAAAATGTCCAGTTGAGGCCCACAGGTAAGGACTGAGGTGCAGTGTGGGAGGAGGTGCAGAGGGCTGCCGGAAGGAGGCCTGTTAGGCTGTGAAGCAGTTAACTTACTTATCTTGCTGCATATGAAAATCAAGCTTAGAACCAATAGTGATAAAGTAAATTAAACTTTTGCACAGTGATTACCTCAATATCCTGTTTCCTTTGATCATTTATTTCTACAAACTGTTACATTATTCGGGGTCTTCTGTGTTTAATTCTTACTAGGAGTTGCAAGGTCAAACTTTCAAACTTAGATGGGGAAATGCATCAGTTTTGTGTTTCGTTCTACCACAGGTTCATCTTTGATGTTTAACATGTAGCTCATCTTTTCTGGAGTCTCTTCATTTATTAAATGAAAAGTATTATGATTTTATACATTTGTGTACAAAGTGTTTTGAGATTGTTGTTTGAAAAGTATAACAGAAGAGAAGAAATGTCTGTTATTTTTGGATGTATTGAATGATCATGCACTTACAGGTTACTCATTTCCTGCACATTGCTGTGCAAGTGGAGTGTTGTTTAGCAAAGCACATTTTTGTCAGGCTTTAGGTGTATTTTTGTTTCAGGGTACAGAACTCATTATGCATTGATGACACTTCCCAAAATAGTTTTTTAATGATATGGTAATGAAGTTTAGAAATCCATAAAGAGATGTACAGAATTAATGCTAAAGGAAATAACTAGTCAGTGAATTCAGAAGATCACCTTCTGGCAAGACTGAGAAGCTGAATTCAGCTCGGTTCCTATTATCCTTGTGAACACAACCTTGCAAACCTTTTAGAGATCATCGGATTTCCAGTTAATTGCTAATAGTAATTAAGTATGGTCATCAGGTGTACAGGTGCCCAATTCCCTTTCATAAATACTCAGCACTGCAAATTCATTCTGTTTTAGCCTGTCATGATTCACCTTGCTTGTGTTTATTCTTTTACAGAAAGTCGATTGCTTATAGGAGCAACGAGCTGCTTGACAAGCTCAGAGCTGCTGGTATTGGAGAGAGGCCTTTGGTGTGGGTCTCACATAGCATGGGAGGTAAGCAAATTGCCTGGTCAATATAGTGCCTTTATCTGCTGTTGTATTTCAGAGGAAGCTGTTTATCAAATTCAGTGTAGAATGTAATTATTCAGTATAGTTTACTGCAGAAATTTACAGAGAGATTTAAAAAATCAAAATATGCATTTTTAATATATTCAATAGTGCATACACTTTGAAGAGATTTTTATTGCTGGTTTTTATTTTTGTTTGTCCTCTGTTGATTACAAACACAAGATCAATGAAATTCACATAACTGTGTGTCTAGAGGCTACATTTTCTTAATGATCAGACATATAGTGTCATTAGATTACTTTCAGCATGGCTTAAGTCCCTGCATTAATTCAGTTTCTGCTGCCAGGTCTTCTTGTCAAGAAGATGCTTGTGGATGCTTCCAAGAATCCAGAAATGGATAAAATTGTAAACAACACCAGAGGAATCATATTTTATAGTGTTCCTCACCATGGTTCCCAGCTGGCTGAATATTCTATAAATGCCAGATATCTTCTCTTTCCATCTGCGGAGGTTAAAGAACTCAGCAAGGGTATGCT